GGCTGGCTCAGTCAGTTGGGCGACTGCCTTCGGCTCAGATCATGGTCCCGGAGTCCCGGGATTGAGTCCCACATCTGGCTCCCAGCTCTGCGGAGAGCCTGCTTCTCCCTATGACTTTCTCCCCTCTCATGCTCTCACTCTTTCTCTCAAATAAATAAATAAAATCTTAAAAAAAAAAAATCTTCTAAATTCCTCTCTGTAATGTTTTGTGCTTTTCAATGTACAAAATCTTACACTTCTTTTGGTGAATTTATTCCTTAGCATTTTTTTCTTTCTGATGAGATTATGAATAGAGTGCTTTTCTTATTTTATTTATTTATTATTTTATTATTATTATTTATTATTATCTTATTTTATTTTATTTATTCTTATTTATTCATTTCATATTGTTTCTTGCTAGAGGAATGAAGTTAATTTTTGTTCTTGAATCCTGTGATTTTGCTGAACTCATTTATTAGTTAAATAATTTTTTGTGGGTGTCTTAGGATTTCTATATGTATATGATCGTGTTCTCTACAACTAAAAACAATTTTACTTCTTCTTTTCCAATTTGGAGGCTTTTATTTCTTTTTCTTGCCAGGTTGCATTGACTAGAATATCTAATACAATGTTGAAGACATAAAAGGAGAGGAGATCTTTGCCTTATTCTCAGTATTAAAGATAAAACCTTCAGTATTTCACCATAAAGTATAATGTTAGTTGAACATTTTTTATAGAGGCCCTTAATCAGATTAAGGAAGTTACCTTTTATTCCAATTTTGTTGAGAGTTTTCGTCATGAATGGGTGCTGTATATTGTTAAAATAAGTATTTTTATATGTGCATTAAGATGATTATGGGGCGCCTGGGTGGCTCCGTGGGTTAAAGCCTCTGCCTTCAGCTCGGGTCATGGTCTCAGGGTCCTGGGATCAAGCCCCACATCGGGCTCTCTGCTTAGCGGGGAGCCTGCTTCCCTTCCCCTCTCTCTCTGCCTGCCTCTCTGCCTACTTGTGATCTGTCTCTCTGTCAAATAAATAAATAAAATCTTAAAAAAAAATGATTAGGTAGTTTGTACTCTTTATTCTGGTAAAATGATATATTCATTAATTTTTGTATGTTAACCAACATATACTAGAATAAATCACATTTGGTCATGGTGTAAAATTTAAATTTTTTTAAAAATTCCAGTATAATTAACACACAGTGTTATATTAGTTTCAGGTGTACAATATAGTGATTCAACAATTCTATACACTACTCAGTGCCCATCATGATAAGTGACACCTTGATTTTAGTCTAGTGAACTGTACAACCTTTTAGCAAAGAGCTGAACTTCTAACTTGCAGAACTGTAAGATAATAAATTTCTATTATATTAAGCTACTAAATTTGAGGTAATTTGTTATAGCAGCTGTAGAAATGGAATACTTAGACTATTCGTATTTTCTCTCTCTTGAATTAGTTTTGGTAACTGTGACTTTCAAGGAATTTGTCCATTTTATCTCATTTAATTTGTTGGCTTTAAGTTGATCACTGTATTCTCTAACAATCCTTTCAGTTTCTCTAAGGTCAGTAGAGATTTCCTTTATTTCATTCCTGATTTTGGGAATTTGTGTATTCTTTCTCATTCACTGCCTCTCTCTGCCTTGGAAAGTATATTTAAAGGTTTCTCAATTTTGTGTTTGATTTTATTGGTTATTTCCTACTCTTTTTTCCCCATTTCATTGGTTTCTATTCTGATATTTATTATTTCTTCTTTTCCCCTGCTTTCTTTGGGTTTAGTTCCTACCCTCACACCCCCACCCCCTCACCTCCTGGTTTCTTTCGTCCTTCTCTCCTTTCCACCCCTTCCTTCTTCCCTTCCTTCTTTCTTAAGATTTTATTTATTTGAGAGAGATAGAGCGCGAGCAAGTGGGGAGGGGCAGAGAGAGAGGGAGAAGCAGACTCTCTACCTAGTGGAGAGCCCAACACGGACTCAATCTTGGGACCTTGGGACCAAGACCCAAGCTAAAGGCAACTGCTAAACCAACTGAGACAACTAGGTTCCCCGCCCCCTCTGGTTTCTTAAGTGGAAGCATAGGTTGTTGATTTGACACTTTTCATATACTTATTTTTTTAACAATTTTTAAAAAAGATTTTATTTGACAGACAGAGATCACAAACAGGCAGAGAGACAGACAGAGAGGGGGAAGCAGGCTCCCTGCTGAGCAGAGAGCCTGATGTGGGGTTCGATTTGGATCTTGTTTTTTATCCAATCTGACAATCTCTGAATTTTGGAGTGTTTAATCCATTCACATTTAATATTATTATCAATGTAGATTTATATCTGCCAATTTGCTATTTGTTTTCTATATTACTCATGTATTTTTTGTTCCTCTGTTCTTCCTTTATTGCTTTTGTTGATTAAATAGGTATTCTCTAGTATACCATTTTAACTCCTTTGTTGATTTTCTGAAGTCATATTTTTGGGGTGCCTCTGTAGCTGAGTTGTTTAAGCATCTGACTTTTGATTTCAGCTCTGGTCATGATCTTAGGGTTGTGAGATTGAGCCCCACGTTGGGCTCCATGCAGAGTATGCTTGAGATTCTCTCTCTCTGCTCCTCCCCTGGCTCTCTCTCAACTAAATAAATCTTTTTTAAAAAATTAAAAAAATTAAAATCGTAATTTAGTGGTTGATTTGGAGGTTTCAATATGCATCTTATTTTATCAGAACCAATTTCAGATTAGTGCTTACTCAATTCCAGTAAAGTATAGTCACGTTGCCCTGATATTTGTACTATAGTCATAGGTAATATATCTCTATATTGTAAACCCAGCATACAGAGTTCTAATTATTGCTTCATACAATGGTATGCCTTTTAAAGAAGAGAAGGAAAAAAATATATGTATAGAATCTTAAAAAAAAAGATTTTATCTTTATTTATTTGACAGAGAGAAAGGGATCACAAGTAGGCAGAGAGGCAGGCAGAGGGGGGGAGCAGGCTCCCTGCTGAGCAGAGAACCCGTGGGGCTCGATCCCAGGACTTTGAGATCATGACCTGAGCCAAAGGCAGAGGCTTAACCCACTGAGCCACCCAGGTGCTCCTATACTGCTTATCATTACCTGTTCTTTATTTCTTTGTATGGATATAAGATACAATCTAGCATCATTTCCTTTCAGCCTGAAAAAATTCCTTTAATGTTTCTTAACAAACGTATGGAGAAAAGATTCACATGACATAAAATTCATCCATTATTGTATGCAATTCAGTGGTTTCTAGTATATTCAGATATGTGCAATCATCACCATTTTAGAACATTTTTTGTCACCTCATAACATTTTATACCTATTATGAGACTAGCATCTTTCATATCTTTTCCTTTCCCACCTCAGCCCTAAACAACCACTTACCTATTTTCTGCCTCTGTAGATCTCCCTATTCTGGACTTAAATGTGAATGGAATCAAATCATATTATTTTGTGGCTGGCTTCTTTCACTCAGCGTAATGCTTCCAGGTTCATTCATATTGTAGCATGTATCAGTACTTCATTCCTTTTTATGCATGAATAGTATTCCATTTTGTGTGTATGTGTGTGTGTAGCAATTCGAAAATCACAAGGTGACATTTAAGTGAAATCTTGGAAGAGAGGAGGGAGCATGTCGTGCGTGTGTGTGTGTGTGTGTGTGTGTGTGTATAGCAATTTAAAAATCACAAGGCGACATTTAAGTGAAATCTTGGAAGAGACGAGGGAGCATGTCTTATAGCAGTCAGAAGAAAGAATGGTCAAGCTGACAGTGCAGCCATTCACAAAGGTCCTGAAGTGGGTGCTTGCTTGCTTGCCTGCCTGCCTGGTGAGTTGGAAAGAAGGTAATGGAACCAGTGTGGCAGTAGCAGAGTAACCTAGGACGTGAATCATCAGTGATGAAGTGCCAGAGATAGCCCTTCTTTTGAGGTCTCATATATAGATTATTGCAGGAATTTTAGCTTTTGTTTTGTGGAAGATAAAAAGACAAGGGAGACTTTTGAGTGGAGGGTTATATCTAGCTTAGTTTTAAAAGGATCATTCTTATTTTGTGTTTTTGTTTTTTGAGTATAGTTGACACATTAGTTTCAGGTGCACAACTCAGTGATTTGACAAGTTGATACATTATGCCACGTTCACCACAGGTATAGTCATAAATAAAAAGAAATATAATAAAGGAAGATAGGAGACAATTATTAACTCTACAAAAATGTAATCTCAGCACACTCATTGACTCAGAGGTGAGCAGTATTTACATGGTCATAAAAGAAAAACAATAAATATGGACCTAACCAAAAATTTTTACATAGCCATATTGGGAGACGGAGGAGGATGGGGGGTGTGGAGTAGTATGGGAGACTGAAAAAATCTCCACTTACCCCTTTATGAATTAAGTGGCAGAAATATATGTATTTTATATAGCAATATATAGGTACATATGAAAAGAAACAGCTAAAAAAGTTTTTTACTTCTGGGGAATGGCTCTTGGTGCCAAAGGTGCACCAGACAAATCATTGCTGTTTGGTTATAAGCCTTTGAAAGCTACTTTACTTTGTATTTTAAGGGTGATTATGATAAATTTAGGTTGGGATAAAGCTAAAAGAAATAAGATGGCAAACACCCACCCATATTTAAAAACAAAATTCTCTTGAAAATTTTATTAACCTTTAATAACAATAAATCAGTCAGCATTTTCCAGTCTTCATGAAGTTTGTCTTAAAGATGAAATTTACTTCAAATGTCTTTCTTCATGTAAACCAATCAGACATGAATAAACTTTTATATTGAGCTTCCCAAACATGTCTTTTTTCTTGGGATGACAATGGCAATACCATGACAGTATTAAGATTTCTTTTTAATTCAAATGAACTGTTTTCAAGATTAATGGTTACTAGCAAATCTTGATTTTTATTACTCTGCTAAGGCAAGATAGAAACATGATACTTTAAAATTATCTTCAATTTCCTATGAACCTATTTTATAGTAAAAAAATTATTTGGTACTATGTGGTTTTTATGCTTAAATTCTAAAAGTAATCTTTAATTTCAACTGAACTTGGTACCCCAAGACTTAAAAAATTTTTTTAAAAATGATATTTACATAATAAATACAATTTTAATCACTCAGTTCTTCCTCATCACTGAAATATGTGCTTTTCTTTATTCTTGGGCGTCTTGAATCATCTGATGTTGAGGGACCTCCTGAACTGGGTTTCCATTTTTTCTGTTCTTCTTCAATTTTGGCTTGCTGTAATGTGAGTCAGGAAACAAATGAAACAAAACAAAACCAGGGGTGTGTTTAATATTATTTACAGTGTATTAATTCAAAACATGGCAAAACCAACCATAAATGCCAACAATCCCCATCTTCCAGCCCATGCAGACATTTCTACTTCATGAGGAGACCCCTCCTGCAACCCCAAGTGATCTCGTAGTTTCACTGTGTTACTCAAAATTATGCTAGGAATCTTCTACTAATTAACAGGTACATGAAATGAAGCCTATTTGCCATCTTTGCTGGACGTGGGAATGTTATATAAAACACATTAGTTAACTAAAAGGAAAAATTAATTAATATATGTATTTGTAATTTACCAATTAAAACATTAAAATAACTTTTTTAGAAAATTAGGAGATTATATGGCCTTCATATTTTCTTGTATTAGGACTTTTAATGGTCAAAAATAAGTTTAGTTTTGTTTTGAAGTGAAGTTTCAATCAGAATATCTTATAATAAAATCTTCTCTGGCTAAAGTCACTTTAATCAAATATTTCGGATCAATTCCATAATGAAATCAGATTAAGATCTTAAAAATGTTATAGGGGTCTTAAAATCTAGAAAGAACCAATGGGACTTTTTCTATCACACTGCTCTAAAGACCTTAGAGAAAGAGCTTATCTCCTAAAGAGGTAAAGGGAAGAGACGAAGATTGCCAAGAGATGATCAATAAAGTAAGCAAGGAATATAAGATGATTAACCCAAGGCACTTATGGCATTATTAAAATAACTGTTTAATACCTGGAAAGCTATGGCCTGACTAAGACTGTCAAGAGCAGGATCTTCCCCTTCATCTTCACTTTCTTCTACTTCTTCACTAAATTATTGAAAAAAAAAAAAATCAGAATGTACTCAAACAATCGTATAAAGATAGAAAAAATAGAATAATGCATTTAGTAAGAGTAAACATACATACATTTCTTCTTCTGGTTCAGGAATTTTCTTTTTTTTCTTTTTCTCTTTCTTCTTTGGAGGTTCCCGTTCTCCAAGCATATTTTTAGGGCAGGCATAACTTAAGTGTCCACTTTCCTTTTGTTTCACATTAAAAAGGAAAGGAAAAAAGCTGTATTTGTTAATGTTATTAAGAGAAACTTGCTTTGTACCCTATGACTAAGGTTTTAGAACTTAAAAAAGAATACTGTCACACTGGGAATATACATGAAGAAGTAAACAAAACCTATTACTTTAATATTTAAAAGAAAGAGATTATGATATTATAACCCCTAATAAGCTACTTTAACAAAAATGGAATATTTTAGTAGTTTCACTAAGAACAAAAGAAGTATTCATCCCTCAAACATTTTAAATCTCAAGACTCAGGGTATAAAACAATTCAAAATTTAAATGGACCACCCACCTTCAATGTAAAAATTTTAAGGTTCTATTTGATAAAATGGGGATGAAACCTTCCTGTTAACTTCCAAGATGCTGCTTAATATCATTTTAAAAGCAAATGGACTCTCTCTCTCTCTCTCAAATAAATAAATCTTTAAAAAAGGGGGGGCACTGGGTGGCACTGTTGGTTAAGCATCCAACTCTTATTTTTGGCTCAGGTCCTGCATTGGGCTCCATGCTCAGCGTGAAGTCTGCTTAAGACAGGCTTTCCTTTTGCCTTCCCCACCCCTTTCTGCCCGCTGCGCTCTCTCTCGCTCAGATAATCTTAAAAAAAAGGTAAAATTTAAAGTCTTTCTCACTTTTCCTATTAATTTCAGGCTCCTCCTTTCATATCTAAATTATACCTGCACTGTCCAATTATGGTAGCCACTAATTGTAATTCTCTTGTGACTACTGAGAATTGATATGCACTGTAAGGGTAAACTACATCCTGGATTTTGAAGACAATAAGAAAAAAATAATGTATGGAGGGTATGTGCTATGGTGAGTGCTGTGAAGTGCGTAAACCTGGCGATTCACAGACCTGTACCCCTGGGGCTAATAATACATTATATGTTCATTAAAAAAAAAATTAAAAAAAGAAAAAAGAATGTAAAATATTTTAATTTTTGAAAATATTAATTACATATTCAAATGATAATATTTTGGATATATATTGGGTTATGATAATAAAGGATATATTAATTTTTGCCTGTTTCTTTTTTTAATGTGGCTACTACACAAATCAGAATTACATTTATGACTGGAGTAACGTTATAATGAACCATAACATGGTTCAGTTGTAAAACATGAGGCAACGAACTACCATCTGAACATTAGCTCACTAAACATACTGATGAATAATATGTAAGAATAAGGGTGTGGAGAGAGAGTCAACCAGGATTAGAACAATAGAAGAGAAAAATAATCATACTTTTCAAGTATATTTTTAAAAGCATCAGATAGACTATGTACTTTATTTTATTTATTTATTTTTTTAAAAGATTTTATTTATTTATTTGACAGACAGAGATCACAAGTAGGCAGAGAGGCAGGCAGAGACACAGAGGAGGAAGCAGGCTCTATGCGGGCTCCATCCCAGGACTCTGGGATCATGCCCTGAGCCAAAGGCAGAGGCTTTTAACCCATTGAGCCACCCCGGCGCCCCAGACTATGTACTTTAAATAGATATCAAATAGACATGGTTGAACCCAAGAGATGTAACTGTTAATAAACTGCTAAGTGAATGCACTTAGACAAGCATTTTCCAAACTGCTTTTGGAATAATATCAACATATTCCATATATAAAAATGGTTTCTTAATGAAATAAGGGAAAACCAGGCTAAATAAATGCAGATATATTTTGGGGAGGTGAAAATTTAAGAAATGTAAAAATGTACAAAGTATAATATAACAAATTTATGGATCCGTAAACTAAAAAGACAGATTAACAGATTCATCCAGGATTTCTCAGATAATTTGTTATTTACTGTGAATATGAGAATACACAGTAATCTACTTGACCAGAACTACTCCTCCCTTCTTCCTTTTTTCCTTTTTAACAAAACTCAGGGCTCTGGAACACAGTTTACATCAACTTAAGAGGTGTTAGAATCACAGGAATTGACAGACTGTACGGTCCAGCTATCCAACTATCTGTTTATCTCTTTTCAGGGAGGAAGGGGTAGAGTATGGCAGTGAAGGGAATGACTCCTACCCATTTCTTTGTATCTTTCACTGATTTTGTAGCCAGGAAAATGTCTCACAGTAATCCTTTCCCCAGCTCTCCATTAGTACCTCTGGATCCCATTTTTTAGGTACTTTATATAGGCATTTTGGAAACTGACAACAATGAGTCCCAGACCAATATCCTCGTGGTACCATCTCTATTATGGGCCTCGTGTAAAATTGTTTTGTGGTTATATATTTTTCCTACTCACCAAAAGTTTAAATGGGTAATGATAAACTACTAGGCAAGAAAATTTGGGGATAGTTCAGTTACAAACATTAGCAGTATTAATAGAAAAAAATACCTTTAAGGGGCACCTGGGTATCTCAGTTGTTAAGCATCTGCCTTCGGCTCAGGTCATGGCCCAGGGTTCTGGGATCGAGCTCTGCATCAGGCTTCCTGCTCAGTGGGAAGTCTGCCTTTTCCCTCTCTCACTACCCTCACTGTGTTCCCCCTCTCTCTGTGTCTCTGTCAAATAAATAAATAAATAAAATCTTAAAAAAAAAATAGCTTTAAAACACATTACCCCAAAAGGGATAGGTTGATCACATGATGTTTATACTGAACTGTGATGCTTAAACACTGGCAAGCTATTATAGGCACAAGCAGTAGTCCATTAACCCAGAAATTTATGGGTCACTAAATCTTTTAAGACAGTAATAAGTAATTAGCTAGGTGCTTTTTTTTTTTTTAAGATTTTATGTATTTATTTGAGAGAGAGCAAGACAGCATAGGCAGGGGGAGCAGCACAGGGAGAGGGAGAAGCAGGCTCCCCGCTAAGCAGGGAGCCCCATGCGGGGCTCAATCCCAGGACCCTGGGATTACAACCTGAGTTGAAGGCAGACACTCAACTAACTAAGCCACCCAGGAGTCTGGTGCTTTTTTAAAAAAGATTTTATTTATTTATTTGAGAGAGAGAGGGAGAGAGCACAAGCAGGGGGAACAGCAGAGGGAGAAGGAGAAGCAGACTACCCACTGAACAGGGAGCCCGATGTGGGGCTCGATCCCAGGACCCTGGGATTATGATCTGAGTTGAAGGCAGCTGCTTAACTGACTGAGCCACCCAGGCGCCCAAGCCTGATGCTTTTTAATTTAACAGTTTTCAAAGACTTAGAAACTGGAGAAAATACCACTCTGTATTACCTAATTCAGGTTCTTTACATACTACATTTCAGTTGAGTCTACTTAGAGGAGTCGAGAGTCCCAAAGTAAAGCAACTTTTATAACCTGGTTTTAGCCAGCCAGAAGTTTTAGAGAGAACAAATAAAACACTGATATGAAATATACCTTCAAACAAACTACAGAAAATTTCATGAAGTTTTAGGTATACTCACCCCACATTCATAACACTTAGATTTGTCAAAGTAGTTTCGTCTTCGGATGAACTCAGCTGCTCTTCCATTGTCGATAGCAATGCTTGCTTTTATTACTCTACCAAATAACTAAACCAGAGAAATGTAAATGCAGGAGGATGTATTACAGTGAAAACTAAAACTAGTTATTTGATTCCATTTTCCTTAAACTTTCAATTCCATTTTATTTGATTACTTTATCAATTGCCTAGTCATGTAAGAAAAATAACATCCTATAGAACAGATTCTTATTCCTTAGATTCTGCCAGTATTTTGGGAACCAATACAGTTTTCACCTCTTTTCTATAAATGAAATGCCCTCAAAATCTACTGCTATCCATGACTTGATCATCCACTGTATCCCCTCATTTTTGGCCTGGATGAACAAAGGCTTTTGGATTAAAAATCTTGTTGGGAATGAATGGCTTACCTGTTTGTTGTTTATTGCTCTGGTACAGTTTTGTGCAGAGTCTTTATCCAAAAACAAAATAAATGCAACCCCTTTACTCTTCCTGGTATCTTTATCTTTCATTATAGTAACCCTTAAAGCATAAACAAATAGCCAGTTAAAAATAATGAGGCAGCAATAAATAAAAAAGATATTACTAAATACTTAGAAAACTCGTGGGTTAGAAAAACATTTACGGAAAAAGAGAAATCAATATGCTTGACAAATCAACTATTTCTTCAAAGTCATGGGATATCAAGAAGAAAGGAAATGAGAAAACGTGATACTGATTTAACAAAAGTGAGCACAGCTCTCACAGGACTACCTGAAAAGTCAAACGTTAATCAGAGGTTGAAGGATGAAGTAAACATATTACAGAGACAATAAAATCTTGAAGAGTAAGCATAATTCTTCTTTTCCACTAATACCCTCACTTTGCAGAAACAAAACAAATCAAAACTGAGGTATTATTTTCAACACAAAAAGTAAGATGATTTACTTATCTTTTTCTAGGCTTTAGAATCTAATTATATTTCTGATATTCTTTTTAAAGTTTTAATTTAAATTCCAGTTAGTTAACATACAGTGTAATAGTTTCAGGTGTACAATATAGTGATTCAACACTTACATACAACACCCAATGCTTATCACAGCAAGTGCACTCCTTAATCTTGATCACCTTAAGAATCTCCAGTTCTGTGGTTCTTAGTCATACCATCCAAGGTACCTAAGCGATAGGGATGGTGCTAAGAGCACAGAGCCTGTTCTTTCTGATCCTTTATACATCCTTAGTCCTTGTGACTCCTGCTCATATGTCATTAAATGTAGTTTAAAAATCAGTGTTCAACAGGGCTCTTCAGAGAAATGGCTGATTCCAAGGATGGATAGGGTAGGTACAAGAGCTTTAAAATGTACTTAGAAAAAGGAAAGGAGTACTTAAAAAAAAAAAAAAAAGATGGGGCATGGCACAGTAGTACAGAAGCCAGCTTAAAGGAACTCTCATTGGCCATATCTAGGACAATTTGAGTACTAAAATAATTAAATACAGTAATGAATAATAAACCACAGAAAAAAGTAGGAATTTATAAGTCCATATTAATTATAAATAAATAAATGAGGGAAAAGGGATGGTTTTGGTTTACAGCAGAATGTCAAGGGAAGTGCTAGAGTTGGAAAATCACTATTTGCAACAATCATAGTAAAGACTGGCTCAGGCAAGAAGATTTGTTGATGAACAAATACTAAATCTAAAATGTAATTTTGGGGCATCTGGGTGGCTCAGTCAGTTAAGTGATTTTGGCTCATATCACAATCTCAGGGTTGTGAGATTGGGCCCACATTGGGCTCTGTGCTGGAAGTGGAGCTCAAGATTCTCTCTCTTCCTCTCCCTCCACTCCCTCCCTCTGGTCACAAGCGCGCTCTCTCTCTTTCTAAAAATACATAAGTAAATCTTCAAAATAAAAAATGAAATTTTTATGTAGAACAAGATATTTACATTGTCTTAAAAGTGTTTCTCACCGACTATATTAGTTGCAAAGGGGAAACGGTATTTATAAAGTGAAGAAATTGGTGAACACCTTGGCTGGGCCATCAGAATTACTATCACTAATGAGGGACACATGGACACTGTATAAATCTAGATGTGAAACCCTCAGAATAAATATTATCTATATAGTTACCAGCCAAAAGTATATAAAACCACAACATAATCACGAGGCAACATTAGGAAAACACAAAATGAGGGGGGGAAAAGATGAGAGAGAGCTATATTCTCTATAAATGTTCCAGTTTAAAGGGGTTTAAAAAAAATAGGACAGTTAAAATCAACACCTAAGTCTAGACGATACTAGAGGGGAAAAATTCTATGTGGAACACTATTAGGTCAACTGACAAAATTGGAACATGGATGATTGATTCAATAAAAGTATTTTATCAGTATAATTTGTGAATTTGGTAACCATACTGTGATTATATAATATATAACCCTATTTTTTAGGAAATACATACTTAAGTATTTAGGAGTAAAGGGCAATGATGTGTATAACTTATCCCCAAATAACTCACAAAAAAAACTGTGTGTATACATACATACATACATGTGCATACACAGACACACACACATACACACACGAGGAGAGAGAGGGCAGATGATAAAGTAAATGGGGCAAAATGTTAACAGGTGAATCTGGGTAAAGGATATTTTAATGTTCTTTCTACTGTTTTTGCAACTTTTTCTGAATTTGCAAATATTTTCAAACACTTAAAAAAAGACAATATTCAACACAAAGTGTAATAATTGACAAAGCTTGTTTAGAGTCACCACTCTGAAAGTTTTCAACCAATTTTGAAAGAAATATGAAATAGTTACTTTATCTTTTTGGAATTTTCATGTATTTGTGAAGGTCAGTTAAAGTCATTAATCATTTTTTTCTAAAGTAGTATTTCGGAAGTGTTAGCTTTCAAAGTCATCCTCAGTTAATAATGTCTCTCAGCTGTCTCCTTTTTTTCATTCCCCCAGCTTTTCTTGTTCACAGTGGCACTGCTGTTTCAACAGTGTATTCTTACTGGTTCCCTTGATGTTAATGCTCTCATATGCCATTGAGAAAATTTCCACTTAAGGAGTAAATAAAATCATGTCATTCTTCTGCTCAAAAATCTTTGATTCTTCAAGTTGCCTATTCTTGGTCTTGAATCAATATCCTTTATGCTTTAGCTCCCACCTCCCTCATCTTTCACTACTTTTACTCACAAACTAGGGGGGCTAGCAACAACAAACTACTCAGTCAAGTTCATGGACTTCTCCAAATTGATGCCTCTATTCACACGTCCTCTACCTCCTTTCAACTCTCAATCTTTGCCCATCAAAACTTGACTCATTCTTCACAGCTCAGAACATGTCAGTTCTCTAATCTCTTTAACTGGAAATAATTTCTTTTGCTTTGTGCTAGTCTCCACTGAAGTCTGTTTATGTATAAATAATGTCTTATCAGACCCATTTTAATATAATCTCCTTTAAGGTTGTCTCTGTAACCTCTAGTATACCTACAATATGTTAAAACGAAAAGACAGATCAAATGGGAAACTGGTTTCTCAAGAGTACATCTAGTTGTTTATTCATGTGGTCATGTGGTCAGTCATGCCATTAGCCTCAAGCCCAGGCACGTTAAGCATTGATAATTAAAGGCCCTAGGACAAGGTTTTTACCTTCAGAAAAAAAGCTTAGAGTCTAGACGTAAAGAAATCTATAAACCAATTAAAATACACTACTTCGACAGAGATATGTTCTATGGTAACAGAAAAAAAATGATTACACCAAAGATTCTTATTCCCAAGTTTCTGTCAGGAGATGTATTCACTTAAGGACATACTATGAAACATGTACTCTTCTGGGAAACCTTGGTGTCATCCATAACACCCCTTTCTCACTCACCCTACCCTTACATACACAGTAAGTACATCATTAAATATTACCCACTTTACAGCCCAACGATCATCTGACCATCTGTCAAACCTGTCCAGCGTCTGCCTCTCCACCTATACCGTCATAGTGCACATTACTCCCCCCTAGGCTATCGTTACAGCTTTTTGACTGGTCTGCCAGCATCTACTCGTTTCCCTCCAGTTTAATCTCTATACTGAAGCCAGAATAAGCTTCTAAAAATTCAAATCATGTTTCTCCTTCATTTAAAATTCTATACCAGCGAATTCTTGGAATTCTTAGGATGAAAACCAAGTATCTTGTAACATGGCCGAGAAGCAAGATGAGGAACCTGCTTCCATCTCTAGACCCATTTTGCACTTTCTCCCTCTTATTCATCTCTAGTTAAACTGGCCTTCTGTTTCTTGACCTCACTTTATTTTCTCTTGCCCTAGGGCTTTTGCACAAGGTAGTCCATCTACCTAAAATGATTGCACGAGGTATTCCCTCTACCTAAAATGTTCTCCACATTCTTTTTGCCTACTTAAATCTTACTCAGCCTATTCAAAGGATAACTGACTTAGGTTAACCTACCCTGACTATCCAGACTAGATCATGTCTTACCTGTTTATAGGTGCTTATAGCTCTGTCTTTGACTTCATAGCATTCTCATGATTTAAAATTAATGTTTGTATGGAAATTCATTCAGAGATTCTGACAGATGGGAAAAACCAAGAAAAGGTAATGGTATGGTTAAAGGAGCAGGCTCTGAAATCAAATTGTTGGATTTCAAATCTTGTCTCCACCACTAACTAGCAATATGTTTATTGTGTTGCTTCAGTTTTGTTATTTATAATATTAAGATAGTAACAGTATTTTACCTTAAAAGGTAGTTGTGAGAACTTAATGAATACATGTAAGAAGATTAGAACAATGCCAGTATATTTATGTTTTCACTGTTACATATCATCATTATTAGTGATCTGACTGGTAATAACGACTATTCAGAATTCTGAAGATCCATGGGTGGCTTGGGTGGCTCAGTTGGTTTGGCGTCTGCCTTCAGCTCAGCTCATGGTATCAGGGTCCTGGGACTGAGCCCCACATGGGGTTCCCTGCTCAGCAGGGAGTCTGCTTCTCCCTTTCCCTCTGCCTCCTCCTCTAGCTCCTACCGCTATCTTTGTCTCTTTCTCAAATAAAGAAATAAAAATCTTAAGGGGCGCCTGGATGGCCCAGTGGGTTAAGCCTCTACCTTCCGCTCAGGTCATGATCCCAGAGTCCTGGGATCGAGCCCCGCATCGGGCTCTCTGCTCAGCAGGGAGTCCGCTTCCTCCTCTCTCTCTCTGCCTGCCTCTCTGCCTACTTGTGATCTCTGTCAAATAAATAAATAAAATCTTAAAAAAAAAATTAAAAAAAAAATCTTAAAAAAAATTCTGAAGACCCAAAAATTTATCTAGAAGCATTTTTGATGATTTTCTTACCATTTATCCAAAGCTAGAAAAAAACTGGCCAAGATAAATATGCTCTAAATTCTCGGGATTTTAAATACAATTTCAAACTTATACCAGAATATATATATATTGATTATAAGATAGTTAGAATGACAGTATCTTGCTTTTACTTTTTTGCCTCATAATATAGGTCCATGTTTGATTTAAAATAGTGAATTAAATGTAAGAAGTTCCTTTTATCCTTTTGTAACTCTCAGCCCCAACTGATAATATCATCCCTACCATTTCTGTATGTTTCCAATCTTTCCAGTGATCTCTAAACTTTCTATGAAAGTAGAGAATATGTTTTCTATATATTTATTAGTCTCATAAGCATTTTGCATGTCATATGCATTGAAATATTTTTTACATTCTACTTATTTGACAAATGAAAATCCATTTCTGATATACTTGATAACACACATTCTAATAACCAAAATATGTATTTAATCAGTCTTTACATCTTATATTGGATAACAGATTCAGTTTTAATTCTTAGTAATACGGCTAAGAAATTATTGTTTAAATAAATTATGATATATAAAGAACTATCATGAGATCATTAGATAAGAGGGTGTATCTTTCAAGTACATGGTAAGATGTTTACAGTATAATGTCAAGTTTTAAAAAAGACAACAAAATCACATGTATAGAATTGAGTCTAAAAAAAACTGTCTATATGTTTACATATTCAGAAAAATGACTGAAATATACACAAAAATGTTAACAGCAGTATTTTTTCTTTGTTATATCAAATATCAGTTTTATTGAAAAATAATAAATCTTAAAAAATGGAAGAGTAAATTCAGATAAACTTTTAAATGAGATTTCAAAATACGATGTGAATACTTACTTTACAACTTTGCCATACTTGGAAAATATCTGAAATAAAAGACCACATAATACTTTACAATTAAATTTTAAGTCATAAGAAACATTAAATTTTCAGGTTATATAAACTGACCATGTTCTTTATTAAAGCTTGTGAAAATTTCTGGCCTTTATTCTATAAAGCAGGCCCTACAAGATATATTTTTTTAGTGACTAGAATAATACTCATATTTTTGTTATTGGAGTCACAGGTATCTGCCTCAATTTCTAAATTTCTAATAAAAGAGCGCAAACGGCGGGAAAAAAACCCACTCTTTATGGGCGGTAGATTAAAGGCATACACACTGCACAGCTGCTAGTGTTCCTCTGGTATATCCATGGCAATTACCAACACCACCATAACCCCAGAGACATCATGTGCTTCAAATATCAATGTTGTGGAATATCATTATTACTAGCCAACTCCATTAAGCAATCTCTGTTTCAGAAGACAGATCCTTAGACTGCTTATAAAACAAAACATAAAACAAAAAAGCTTCTGTATTAAAAATTCATTTGCGGGGTGCCCGGGTGGCTCAGTGGGCTAAAGCCTCTGCCTTTGGCTCAGGTCGTGATCCCAGGGTCCTGGGATTGAGCCCCGCATCAGGCTCTCTGCTCAGCATGGAGCCTGCTTCCTCCTCTCTCTGTCTGCCTCTCTACCTACTTGTGATCTCTGTCTGTCAAATAAATAAATAAAATATTGAAAAAAAAAATTCATTTGCATTAGTCTCCATCCCTCTGCCCATTCTTAATACATTGGTGGTTCTTTACTGTTGGCCCTATCTTTCCTTTTACTTCTACATCTTCAACCTAAGCAATCTCATCTATTTCTGTTTCAGCCACTACATATATGGTAATAGTTCCTATTTATTATATCTTAGAAAAGTCTTTCAGAAATATTAATATATGCAATTAATAATAAATTGAGTTTTATGATTAAGTTGTATAATGCTGAAATGTAATATAACTGGATTGCAGTGTTAGAAACACTGAATCTTGAAGTCCAAAAGAGTCTTGTGTGTAACACTTTCTAATGGCTTCTCATTTCACTCACAATCCTTACTATTATCTATGTAAGCCCTATGTGGCATCCCTGCATAGGCTTACCTTCCTCTGACTGCCCTTCCTCTCTCTCCACTTGATTTACTCTGTGCCTGACATGCTTTTCCCCCAGACATCTACACAGCTGTATCTTACTTCTTTTAGGTCTTTATTCAGAAGTTACCTTTTCAATAAGGGCTTTAGACTGCTCATGTAAAATTTGACCTCCATTCCCAACCTGATGTTTAATAACCTCCTTTATTTTTTCTCCTTAGCTCCTGATTTCTTAGCATTAATTTTGTATCCAAAAAACAGAATATCATTAGACTTTCTTATATTTCATATTCTTTTATCTTGCTATGGTGCCAAGATGGATTTTCATCTTTGTGTTCATTGATGTATTCTTAGTACCTGTAAGAGTGCTCAGCATATGGTAAGTGTTCAATAAATACAGACATATCTCTATATGGAGACAAGGAAAGAAGCTAAAGTGCATTTTCTCCTTTGTTCTTTGAGACTTAGGCTATCTCAGTTAAGTAATTAATCAAATACTATGTAATACCTATGTAGCATCTTCTCTGTACTTAACATCTACCCAAAGAGGTAGAGAGAAGAGGGCACATTTGGAAGAAAGAATTTATGTCATTCCTTCCATTTCCTCTCAACCACTAATCTACAGGACAGGGACAGCAGGAAATTTTGTTCTCTGTAAGGTAAAGAGGTGAAAGAAGATTTTGGATCCTCCAGCCCCTTTCCCCTCCATTATCTAATCCTGAACTGAAAACAACAGTAAGCTCTTAGGTTTCTTCCACATATATAAAATTAAAATAACCTTTCAACACCCAAGATCAGTCAGAATTTGAGGGTTAGTCAAGGGATGTGTTTGCTTTCATCAGCCCTTTCCTCCAAAACCTCTACCCAACATTTTCAAAAAACCAAGTAAGCACGAAGGAAAAATCAGCCTATCACAAGTTGTTCCCACTTCATTATGCTACCCGTGTCTTCTGTGTTTATAAAGAAGTTACTCTCTATGAAAGCACTCTTTACTCTTTACTCTTCTATGAAGAGTAAACTCTTCGGAAATTAAAAAATTGTCAATTTTTTTTTACTTATGTTTGCAACAGAGTCTTTGCTATTGATGGCTCAAGTGTATTGTAATGTAGTTATTAAGAATTTTGCTAAAGAGAACTCTTTGCTTAAGCTTTATCTGTACCACAGATAGAGAATTCAGAAGATAACTGTATTAAAAATCACTTACCCGGTATAAGTCATTGTTGGTCAGGGAAAAGGGCAAGTTGGATACATACACTGTGCTTTTACTTGGGGCCAATCCACCACTCATTTCTATAAAGGAAAACAAACCGAGAAGCAATCTAAACCAGGTATTCTTCATTCCAAGCAGAACCAGTGTATATAATCATTGATTTAATTATGCCAGATTTAATACACCTTCCTCGCTTTTTTTAGGATTAAAAACAATTACTCCACCTGGGTGAATTAAGGGATTTCTTTTCCCCAGATATTACTGCAAAGACCTTTCTGGTCTTTCTTTCAAGTAGAGTCCTTAACCATTATAGTGCTGGATTACTGTATGAAGGCAGAATAAGTTTAAAAAAGAAAAATAAGAAATTCTTGAGGCTTCACTTAACTTTCCCTCAGGCTAAGGGTAAAAAACTGCTTTTGAAAACGTTTAGTACCATGCCTACCACATCAGAAAGAGCCCGCTAGCTCGGAAAGAACCTTAGCCACTTATTTTCATTAATGCTTTGGTCTGGGGTACTATTTTTGGTTTTCTTGATATTTTTCTTTGCAGTGGTGTTAAGAGAAAATTTTAACCTCACATTTTGATGGTGTAAAGTTCAAATAACTAATTTTGCATATTATTGGTAAATAATGAAATGATGCATTTTACTATACAGAATAGGTTTCCGTGCCTTGAAAGATATTATTTTGTGTATGTATTTTTAGATTACAAATGTAATTTGTAACTAATTTTTATAGCGTATTTTACAAAGCAGATTATCCATGAAAAGTACATCATACTCAACAAGGTTCAAATTTCGATTTAAAAAGCTTGTGTGCTGTGTATAGGAGATGGAGGGTAGAGGCCATCAAAAATGGCAAAATATTGACCGTGGGACAGGCCAAGTTGCGGAGTAATAGGAAAACTGCCTGATGCTTGAGATATTTCTTGGGAATCTATTAGACAAGTTCCCATTTACTAGACAAGTTTCCCATCTGAAACTATGAGTTACCGTTCTGGGGAGAACTGCGAGGGCGGGCAACGGCAAATGGTCCGGAATAAAAAGTGTGGCGGGGAGAGAGGCAAATCGTTTTTGCGGCCGGGTCTCGGGAGGGGCTGGAAGAAAGGCCGCAGCTGAACAGGCGTTTACCTTTCGGTGGGGCGGGCCTGGGAAACTAGAGCGCGAGCCCACGACTCAGTTGGGGCTCAACCCGGACTCTTCCTCGTCCCCCGCTGGGGCCTTAACATCACGGGTCCTGGGAGGGGTCAAGCGCCGGAGAGTAGGAGGCAGCGACAGCAACGCCTCTTCCTGGCGGTAGCTAGACCCAGGCTGGGGAGGCGGGCCCAGAGGCGGCGCTTTTGCTTACGTATTTGAGCGCGCCGGAAGTGCCTGCTTAGGAGAGGGCGACGAACCGACGACTACATTTACGGGGTCTCCCGGCCGCCCAGAGTCGGTGAGCTCATTTTACCTTTCCACGAGGTGGACGGGGCCGGGCTCTGCTACTGGCCGAGTCGAGCAAGCGGGCGAGCGGGTGTGGGGTGTTTTCTGTGGCGGGAATTGGAGTCTCCCGTTGCATTTGAATCGTGCAGTAATTCTGCCCTTGGCGGTGGAGGGTGTAGAGACGCAGTGGAGTTTGGAATAAAGGAAACTGTTGAGTCTGAGACATAGGTTTGCTTATCTTTAGCGCCTTATTATGCAGAAAGAGGACTGAACTAGGATAACTTCAGTGACCCAAGATCAGTTAGAAAGTCGGTAAATTTAAAGAATGTGTTCAATGTACCCAGTTAAGTGTTAAGGCACTTTGAGAGCTACAAAAAAAAAAAGTGTAAAACAGGGCTTTTTCTGGCGGATATCTCAATCCAGTTGAGACGGGGTCAACTCGGATTGACAGAATGACTCATCTTGAGTTAGTATGGACAAATGTTGGACTACTTGGCGTCTTTTTCCGTCCTGTAAATCTATATTGGGCATACACTGTTTTTTCTCTTAAGAGGAGATAACGGGGCTGTCATTCTTACAGAAAAATCAGGAACTAATGGAAGGTAGTTTATACTTCTACCCACCAGCACACTCAGACCAGGCCTCTAACCATTCCTTGGAAGCCTGCGTGCCAGCACCCTGGAAGCCAGAGCCTCTCCTGGAGTCTGCACAATCCAGATTGAAGCCGATGTCTTCTAGAGAGAAGGAACTGCATCCAGGGCGCAGCTGAATTTTGAGAGGCCCGAATGCCTCCACATCCACCAGGGGACCGCTGGGACTAATTCTCTTGGCAAACTTGTGGCCAACCAAAACTACCATGCTTCACATCCCCGTTATTTCTGGTTACCGCCCAAGATGTAAGCCCCTTTGGTCTTTGCTACATCCTTATCTCCATGCTGCTTTGTACTTCCTCTCTCTTGATTTAGGCTACCGCTGCTTTTCCCTCCTTTTCTTACACATTTCACCCCTCAACACAACGGCTGAGCTCACTGAAACCTCTGTTCCCTGCTTAACAAACTGTTACATACTCTACTGCTTTATGGAAATTCTCTTTCTTCTCCTGACCATAACCAACACTTGGCTTTTTGCCTCCTGCCCTTTCAGTTGAGTCCTTTCTCTGACACCTGCATTTAAGGTTAAGTGATGACTCTACCTGTATTGAACTGATTTCACTTCCTCAGAACCTCCCCCCACCAGGGTCTTTGTGGAGGTTCTTTTCTCTCTCGGAGGCATTTTCTCTCGGAGGCATTTGATTTCTCCGACCTTTCTTCTACCTCTCTGTGGATAATCCCTACACCTGCTAAGGGTTTCACTTTCCCTGTGAGTTTCTCTGAGGGATATTTTGTAACTTCCCCCCAGAGAGATTTAGGTACCCTTGCCATGTGCTAAGTGCCCTCTACTTTCCTCATCCTAGCACTTACCACATGTGTGCTAATTAATTGCTTGTCTCTTTGCCTTCTTTACTAATCTAGGCTGTTATTTTCTTGTTTATTTTTGTAATTCCACTGCCCATTAGGCAGGTAGGTATTTATTTGATTGCAGCTGCTGCAGGTACAGTCTCAGAAGTCGGGCAGTTGACATGTCATCTCACTTTAAAGTGTAAGAACCTTTGGAAAGGGATCAGCTGGTACTTTAGCTTCAGCTGGTTGTGGCTGTGTGAGAATATGATTCCAATGTTGCCAGAGCATGTAGGTTTTTCAATAATAATTGGAAAATGTGGTTTTGGAAAGTGGTATCTCCCAGTTTTCAAGTGTTGTCAGTGGAATAACACTTTATTACAAACAAAAACAAAACAAAACCCAAAAAACCCTGGGCCAAACACGTGTCACATGCAGCCTATCGGTCACCAGTTTGGAATCCTTTTTAGTGTGGTAGGGCTTAGAATTGGGCTTTGTGGAGAATACTAGATTTTGAGCTTCATCTTCATGGATAGTTAGAAGTCGAATGAGTACTGTAGATTGAGAAATACATAAAAAAACTCCAGGGTGGTGTGTGTGTTACTTTGTGGCATGGTAAGGAGTCTGGCCTGCATGACTTTTTTGGGAGAGAGCAGGAGTTTAGGTGAGATGATAGAGGGTAGAGGAATTTGGTTTTATTACAGTTAATTGATGTGAAACAGTTTGGATTCTTGATCTGGGAAACTTCAGCTATGGGTGATGTATTAGCAAAGTTAACTGAGTATCCTTTTGTAAAGGTGGCGTGGAGAGGAGAATTGAGACTAGAAGGAGGTTGAGCAGTTAAGATTGTAATCTTTATCCTGGTGTGAAGTAAAATTTAGATTTGTAAACATATATAGGGAAACATCTGGCATTTTGGTCTATTTTTATAATTTCAGTTACTTGATCACTTACACTGAACAATCAAGGATCTCCTAAATATTTAACACAGTATAGTGGAGCTTATATAAGAGGAGTCCTTAAAGCACTGAAAAAAATCAAGTAATTTGTGAAACTAGCCTGCGTGCCAGCAGCCTGGTACTTTAATCCGTACTTTAAGTTATATGGTGGTTATGAAGCAATCAATAGTCTCCTTAAGCGTCATTCTCCTTTAATCTGTTTAGTATACTGCCAGGTTAATCTTCTGGAATGACATTTTCCCCTATACCTTATTTCTAGGCTTAGAAGCCTGTGGTGCGCTTCTCTAGCTGCTTGCTTTGTATTAGCATTTAATTCGTTTGAATGTGTTCTGTCTTTGCCTGTTACCTTTGTGAAGCAATGTGATATGATGAAAAGGGCTTGGGATTTGAAGTCCCACAGACCTGAATGATTCCAAGCTTTGGCTCTGGGATTGAGTTTTTCAGAGCCTCTGTGCTTCATGTGGAATAGTAGAGATAATATCTACTAAAGGGGAGGAAATGAAAGCTTGTTGAATTCCCACGCAGGCTTACTTTCCATTCCTTTGCAATGCAAATCTTCTAATCAGTTGCAACTTTCTCAGATACATTTTCCATAATTATAATTCTTTTATCTTTTTTTGGATTCCACTATCATTCATCCACATTTAAGCAATCTCTCAAGAGTCTATTTAAATTTTCTTGGCTTTCTTAACTACCATTTCCTACATTTATCTCCCTGAGCACAGAACAGTGGTTGATTTTAGTAGACATTTTGCTCTATTTTACCATGTTAATTGACATCAGTATTATTTTCTTTTTCATAGACCTTCGCTAATTATGTTCTAAAATTCATTTTTAGTTGTCTGAAATTATAAACATTTTTCAATAAAGAATAGTAATAATCTAGTTTATGGGTTGAAGTCAGTTCTTAAAAGCTTCTTGCTTCAATTTAAGATGTCTGGAATATGTTTACCTTGCTTTAAGGTCAGTGGATCTCATACTGAGATGAGTTTAAGTGGTTTTTTTTTGTTTTTTTTTTTAAGAAGATCTATTTATTTGAGAGAGCATGAACAGGGCAAAGGGCAGAAGGAGAAGCAGGCTCTCTTCTGAGCAGGGATCACCCCGCCCCACAGGGCTAGATCCCAGGATCCTGAGATCATGACTTGAGCCAAAGGCAGACACTTAAGCAAATGAGCCATCTAGGCACCCAAGTTTAAGGTTTTTTTATAAAGTGTCAGCATTCCACCCCAGGCCAATTATAGAGGGATTACAGAGGCTAGGGCCTAAGCATTTGTATTTTTAAAGCTGTTTAGGCTGCCTGGATGGCTCTGGTCATGATCTCAGGATCCTGGGATCAAGCCCACATTGGGCTCTCTGCTCAGTGTTAAGTTGGCTTCTCCCTCTCCCTCTGTGATCTCTGGCTTTCACTCTCTCAAATAAATAAATAAAATCGTAAAAAAAAAAAATAAAGTTCTTTAGATAATCTAAAGTGCAGCCAGGGCTAACCAACTGCTTTAGGTGCTAGAGCCAAAGAATTCTCATTGATAACCTTTCTTTCAAAAATGAAGTGACATTTGTATCATGAGAAATATATAGAGCCAAAATCTTAAAAAAAAAAAAAAAATCTATCTATCTATCTATATATAGATAGATAGATAGATAGATTTTTTTTTTTTTAAGTACTCTCTATACCCAACATGGGGCTCAGACTCACAACCTAGAGATCTAGAGTCCCATCCTGCATGGACTGAGCCACCCAGGAGCGCCAGGAGCCATAATTTAATAGTGCTTATTGGAAGTTTTCTTAATACAGGTTTGCCTCACTCTCTGAAACCTTTCATAAGTTAAATGGCATTAAGGAAAGAGGCAGTTAATGCTTTGTAAATGAAAATCTTTGGATTTCTTTTGGTTAGTGAAAACAGGTACTAAGGCAGGTCTTTTGTAAAAGCGAAGTGACATAAGGTGAATTTTCAGGTAGCTGGGGGATATCTGTAATGAAAAGATACAAACCAGTATTTAGGTTCCCTGGAATGGCTCCTATGGTGGTCATAAGAATAATCTATTTATTTGGCCAATATTTAATAAGTACCTTTACCTTGCTAAGCAGTAGGAGTAAGAAAGGTAATTGCCTTTGCAGTGGTGTTTAGTTTGGGAGGGAGGACTGGAAGAAAAGTAAAGTGCAAATGATGTTATATAGCACTATTATAGCAGGGTGCCTTAAGAAGCCCTAAGAAAGAACAACTTTGTTCTTTCTGGAGAATATAAGAAAAGCTGACATTTAAGTTGAATCCTGATGAATTACTCTAAGCAGTAATGGCGTAAGAGAATACAAGGTTTATAATCTAGAACTAGTTATTAGCAAACTTCTAAATGAAGCTTACATTCTCTATACTGAATTCTGATCCATTCTCTGCCTAATTGTGATATAGAGGGTCCTTTCATTTTTCAGTTCTGTCCTTCGGTTTTCATATCCTGTTGGATCCGAGAACTTGACTGGAATACTTCTGAGACTCCACTAA